GTCTACTCTCAGACAAATTAGACAAATTAAAATGTAAAAAGTCAGTAGCCTCAGTTAGATGGAGGGGGACATGAGTCTGAGTGTGCAACCAACATTATTAGCTTTCAGATGTCCACTGACCAAGGAAAAATGAATCTTGGCAGCAGACCCAAAGCAGGTGGAGTTAGGGATGGGCCTGAGGAATGTGTAAAGCTGTGTAAGAGCCCCAAGGGCTGTCACCAAAGGTGCAGCATAGGCTTGAAAGAAAACCAAGGATAAGGCTGTGGAGCACAACAGTTCTCCAAAAGACAAGTTGAATTTGGTCCAGCTTCCAAAAGAACTTTCCCCCCAGAGCTCATCACGCAGCTTTTAAAAGTCCTTATGCTCATAAAGTTCTTGGAAATGAATACTGAAGAGTAATTTGGAGAATGCTGGGAAATGCAGAGTGGGAACTGACTCTCAAAAAGGCTGCTGCGAATGGAGGCCTGGCCCTCAGCCTTTGACAGCTATGGAGCAGGGATGCTTCTGTGCTTCTCAGACATCATCCTTACATACGTCCCCTCTTTCAGAACAAGGACATGGCATCCCTCACCCCTCCTTATTAGCTGTACTCTATAGCTCCTTATGTGCCTGTATGTGTCCCTCAATCAGCTGGGATCCCTTTCTCCTGACTGTAATTTCAAAACTGCTTTACTGTGTGGGACCTTTGATCTAATTGCCACTTCCTAGGGCTTTGAAGAAGAGGTTGGACTGCTGGCTGTGCCAGGTGGTACCCTAATGGGGAGCAGATTGTCTTTCACAGTGCCCATAAATCCATGTTGGTCAAATCCCTGTGTATTGATGAAAAAATGCCAAGTTGAGTCCATTTTATTCTCGCTGTTAACATGACTTTATTAAAAATCCCAGTTTGGAAAGCTGCTCTGGCTCTTAGACATTTAGTTGTCTGGCAGTGGTGACAGTGCTGTGGGCTGGTAGTACCTGGGAGTTAGTTTACAGATGGGGCATATTCAGTAGGCCTTGCACTTTTTTTTTTTTTTTTTTTTTTTGGTTTTTCGAGACAGGGTTTCTCTGTATTGTTTTGGAGGCTGTCCTGGAACTCGCTCTGTAGACCAGGCTGGCCTCGAACTCACAGAGATCCGCCTGCCTCTGCCTCCCAAGTGCTGGGATTAAAGGCGTTGCCACCAACGCCCGGCAGGCCTTGCACTTAGTAACTGCTCATTAAGGCTGTCTGGAAGATGCTCATGGCATTTGCCTGTGTGAAATATACTTTCTGTTCACCTAGACCATGTGAACAGCAGGTACCCAATCCAACACACACACACACACACACACACACACACACACACACACACACACACACACTGTCCACAAGGATTCCAGAGGCCAGACTGAGGATGCAGGGGCTGATTGTGGCTCACTGTGGCTCACTGGGTGTGGCTACTCCGGAACTCTGGAATGTGGGGGTGGCCAGGAGAGGCCCTGGGCACCCTTCCTGTCCTGCTTTCAGGTGGTACGGCATCTCTCATTGAGCCACACTGGTTTCGTGATGTGTGGCTAGCTCTGGTGTGAGCCACAGCAGGACCCAAGTGAGGGAGGTGAGGATGCTGGTGTATCATGAGGGGTTGTTCAACTGCTGGCGTGGTGTGTCATTCAGCCCAGCGGCTGCAATGGTGTTGGCAGGACCAGAGCTCAATTTCCTAAATGGGGACGAGTCTGGAAAGGTTGGTGCAGCTTGAGCTGGTGCAGAGTGGCAGGAAGCTAGTAGGACTGTATGCTGTGAGCCCCAGGGAGCACAAGCAGCTATAGTGGGCATCCCTCTTCTGAGAGCTGAACTGGACTGCATCCCCTCAGCAATGACAGCAGCATTCCAGGTGGTTGCCTGTGTCACATCTGAGCACTATACCTGCCGAGTCCTGACCTTGCACCAGCCTGAGTCTTTGAATAGAGAGATCCCAAGCATCCCAGAGCCCCACTCGAACCCCCAGTTTGATGTCTGTTTCTTGCCACTTCTGTGGTGGTACTTGTGCCACCACACATTGCTCTGCCCAGGTAAAGTGAAGGTTATCTGTAGCCAAGTCTGGTGCCACTGTGACCAGAGCTGCACGCTGTCCTATGCCGTGGTTTGCTGGACACTTACTTAAGTTGCTACAAAACTCCACAGCCTGAGAAGTGTAGTGTTGCTGAGGAGGCCTTGCTTAGTTGAGGGCACCGCATCTTCAGGGCCAGCATGTGGTTTGATGGTTCCTAGCTCTGTTTTGTGCAGCCTGGGATAACACATCGATGGTGGTGGTGGGGTCAGCTCGAGTGGGACCTGGAAGCCCAGAAGCTGTTTGGATGGGGCAACAAAAGAGCCGACTCTACTGAGAGAGTCCTGAAAATGGCTGACCTGTCTCCAGGGCGTAGGTGTGGCACTGTGCAACTTGGTAGTGAGATACAGCCTGGAGGCCTGGTTCTGCTGGGTTTTGTATTTTTAGAGGTTGTACTTTTTAAAAAGAGGAAGGAAGGAAGGAAGGAAGGAAGGAAGGAAGGAAGGAAGGAAGGAAGGAAGGAAGGAAACACAGCAGAAGCCATGTGTGGCTTTAAAAGAAAGCTAGCCACACTTGGGCTGGAATTGATTCAGATGTGATCATCAAGGGCTCAGACGCTTACATTTAAACTTATTTTTTAATTTTGTGTGAGTGCATATGTGTTCACCATGTAAGTAGAAATCAGAGGACAGCTTGAAAAGTTATTTGTCTCCTAACACCTAATGGGTCCCAAGGGTGTCAGGTTGTACTCTCTGAGCCATCTTATAGAAACCAACATTACTCAGCCTCAGGGCTGATGGCTAGGTGCTGCATAATGCTACAGAGTGCTGCTAACCTGTTACATTGTGACTAGAATGGACTGCCTAGACAGATTTTCACACTCTGTGTTGGAAGTTTATTTTTATCTCCTTTTACTTTTCATTTTGGTTTTTGAGGCAAGGTCTTAGTATCCCAAGCTTGCTATGTAACCAAGGACAACCTTGAACTCCATACTTCCTGCCCCCAACCTGCAAGAGCTAATAATACAGGCAGGAACCACCACGCCTGGTTTCACAGGGTTACCGCTTCATCTCTGCTGTTGCTGCAGTGACTCAGGAGCCTAAAGGCTCACAGAGGCACACAGGTCTCTTGAGGATAGTTCAGAAGTGGGTCAAAGGCCACCAAGCTGAGCCGAAGGGCTTGATGTTTGTAATTGTGCTGTTAGGACTGCTTGCAAAATAATTGCCATTGTCCTGTCCAACACCCAGCTTATGTGTTTCAGCTTCACAACTGCATTTCACATGTTCCCAGAATGTCCCTGTCTCCTGTTTTGACAAGACTGCCAGGCTGACATAAAGAAAGGTCATGGTTTCTTTTGACAGTGACTAGGCAAAGATTGAGTTCATGTGTAGCAGAGCTGAGGGTAGGATCGGTTTCCCCACTGCTTACAACATGTGTTGGAAGTGGCTCCTGATGAGATTTTGGAAAGAGGTATACGCAGGTACTAGTTTGTTGCTTTGTTTTTCATTATGTGTATTGTCTATAAAGGGTATATATATGCACACAGTTCCAGGTAGTTATAAGCTGCCTAACATGGGACATGGGTAGGAAGGGCTCTTGTTTTTTTTTTTTTTGGTGTTTGGTTTTTCGAGACAGGGTTTCTCGGTATTGTTCTGGAGGCTGTCCTGGAACTCACTCTGTAGACCAGGCTGGCCTCGAACTCATAGAGATCCGCCTGCCTCTGCCTCCTGAGTGCTGGGATTAAAGGCGTGCGCCACCAACGCGCGGCGTAGGAAGGGCTCTTAACCACTAAGCTGTCTCTCGCATCTCTCTAATCCCTTGACTAAGGTTTATGTGACAGAGTATTAGGTGAATAAGAGATTTCAGATGAGGGCTGCAGTGTGGAGTTGCCTGCCTCTGCTTCCTGAGTGCTGCTGGGTTAAAGGTGTGTGCCACTATGCCTGGTTTAGTACTCATCTTTACTAAGTAAATATTATTAGAGATACTTTATCCAAAGCAATCATTGAGAAATTTTTGGTAAGTTATCAGCCTACAGACCCAACTTCATATCCAATGGGAATGCTGCCCTGCATGATTCAGGAGCCCTTTTGGTAGCCCTCTAGATAGAACCTAGTGTCTGGGGTCTACCTCCCAAGAGACCAGGGCATTGGTACCTCCACCTCTCCTCTTGTTGGGGCAGCTGTGTGCATGCACACATTTGTTGGAGTCAAGCTCTTGCTGTGCAGTTCAGGCTGGCCTAGAACTCAAGATTCTCCTGCCTCTGCCTTCCACTGCTGGGCTCACACCTATGTGCCACCACACTGACGTTGGGAACCTTTCTAGAGGGACATATCCAGTCATCTCTAAGAATCAATATATTGCTGTGGGGTGTGTCTTAAGTCACAGAAACTGAAATGGAGCAGACTTCAAGACTAGGCTCTTGGCTGCAAAGCCCCTGGTCCTGCCTCACATAGGCAAGATGTCTCAGAGCTGCTTGAAAACTTCAAGGGTTTGGCATGTGTGTAAAGGCTTCTTTTAACTTTGATTATCACTGTGTTTGCCAACCTAGACAGGTGGAGGACTGCTTCCCAAGCTGCTGCGAGGACCCAGCCTAAGGGCAGATTTTGAACTTGGGTATTAGACAGTGGGATGGGTGTCCCTGTCTGTCAAGCCTGCTTTCATTACACATTTGCAGGCAGTGTCTCTTGGATCCCTCTGTAGTTCTGTCAGCGCTCTCCCCAGCTTCCCTCTCCTTTCTTTATGCCCTCTTTTCATGACGCTAGAGGACCAGAAAGGATGCCACTGGTGACTCCAGCAACAGGAAAATCTGACACAGGTGATGGTATCAATGTTGGCTAGAGAATGAGGTGTTTTGTTTTTTTGGGTTTTTTTCTTGTTCACTTTCTTCAGCTGCCCCAGGTAGAAGTGTCACGAGCTCGTGTTGAGTGTTGTCGATGGTGGCAGGTGTGGGCAAAGAGGCCGCCCCTGACTTCAGCTGCCTTTGCTCTCTTGCAGATCTTCTAGCTGCTCGATGGGGAGTCACAGAAGGTCTCCTGTGTGTGTCAGCTCCCCACCTCTCTGTAGCAAGAGAAGTGACTGCAGCGCCTCCACAGTCATGATGATGAAACTGGTATTAACTGAGTGGTCCTTATGGATTTTTAACTCTAACTCACAGTGAGCCAGCAAGCCATATGTTTACAGTCCAACCAAAAACCCTTCTGTGTTGCTGCACGCCTCGTGTGAGAAGTTAAGACGCCTGTTGGTACAGAGTGGAATACAAGAGTTACTTGTCGGAATGCACTTGCAGCAGAACGAGAAGACGTCTTAATTTATCGTTGGAGAGAGATGATAGTATTATTTATATAGGTAGAATATATATATATATATATATACACACATATATATTTTGGTGGTAATGAAAATGGCTCCGCAGAATGCCGACTCGGAATCTATGCAAGTACAAGAGCTGCCTGTGCCCCTGCCGGACCCTCAGAAACCCAGAGACCCAGAGGCTGAGACCCAAGAGGAGACCATCAGTGAGGGATCCATAGACAGAATCCCCACACGCCTATGGGTCATGCACGGGGCAGTGATGTTTGGCAGGGAATTCTGTTACGCCATGGAGACAGCACTGGTCACACCCATACTGTTACAGATAGGTAAGTAAGTGCAGCAGGCCTGGCTACTGCTGAGTGCATAGCTTCAGCTACAGGTGGTGGAGCTGAAGGCCCTGGGGAGTCCTGTCAGGGGTCCCTGACCTCTGACAGCTCCTCCCATTCACCTGGTTTAGGGCCTTGTTGCTCTGGTCTGCACATTGCATTGCAGGTCCTGAGAAAAACTGAGCTTGGCCGTGTTGGGCATACTGACTGTGGAAGCCACTGGCTGTACCACCATGGCAAATCAGGGATCCTGGTGCCCATGGAACGGGGGTGAGCGCAGTCCCACCCCAAAAGTGACTGCAACCCTCCTAGGTTGCTGCTAGAATGGGTTTGTCAGAGTCTTTTGCTTTCTCTGTAGACCCAGAACGTTTTAAAAACTTAAATTTTCAGGTCTGAAGCTTCATAAGAGAACTATACAAAAGGCCAAGCCATCTAGAGGCATCAGTTTTGTTCTAGCTTTTCATGTAGTCAGGATTCATATTTTAAAAACCTGTTTGCTTTGGTTGTTTTAGCAGTGTTTCTTGCCACAACATAAACACACCCTTACCTGGGATCAACTCAACATGTGGATTTGTCATCCACTGTGAAATCATCACACTTCTTCTGTCGCAGGCTTCCTGACCCTGGTGGTGCTCATGATCTCATGCACGCCTGCTCTGTGGCCTATTAGTAAAGGCGCTGGAATAGGTCTCATTCTAAGCGTCTTGGCATGCTTTTCTTTGGAAACCAGGCCTTAATCTCCTCCTTTCACTTCCAAAGCCAGTTCTCGGAAGGCATAGGAGGCAGCCAGATAGCTTATGGCACAGATGTGCTGGGGACTGTCCTGGAGGGTCAGCCGCATTGACTGGACCGTGCATAGCTGTACAGCCTTGTTTTACCATTGTGCTGCTTTTCACCTCCTGGAGGCCTGTCTTGTGAAGGCACTGGGCGTCTGGCCATGCTCACAAGACAACTTAGTCCAGTGAGAGAGAAGTTGGGAAGAAGACATCAGGCTTACTTGGTGTATGTTCTGTTGTCGCCTTATGAGAACTGCATTCCACCCAGGTATGGAGCCAGCATGGCCTTCCGTGTTGGCTTGTTAGAGATGTGACCTATATCCCCAAGCTGCTAAAACCCAGGGTCCACCCTGCCTAGAATCCTCACACTTAATAGGTTGTACTGTTTTCATGCCATCTTTAGTACTTTTTATTTGTTGGTTTTGAATATTTATTACATGAGGTTTGTTGTGTAGTAACATTTTAAAATTATTTTATCATACCTCCCAAGTACCTGGGATTATAGGCCTGATCCACCAGTCCCTCAGTGACTCCATCTTACTAGAGGTCTCTGTAGCTTCTTGGAGAAATCTGCATGACAAGGAAGGCTCTAGCCAAGAGCCAACAAGTCCTAAAGTTACAAGGAGTTTGGGAGAAACCAAATCTTGTCAGTGCTTGGGTAATGGAACTTTCTTTCTTTCTTTCTTTTTTTAATGTTTTTTTGTTTCGTTTTTTCCGAGACAGAGTTTCTTTGTATTGTTTTGGAGCCTGTCCTGGAACTTGCTCTGTAGATCAGGCTGGTCTCAAACTCACAGAGATCCGCCTGCCTCTGCCTCCCGAGTGCTGGGATTAAAGGCGTGCTCCACCACTGCCCGGCTTTGATGGAACTTTCTCTAGCTGAGCTTTGCAGTGACCATAGCCTGGTCAAGACCTGGAATGCAGCTGCTGAGAGACCTTGAGCCAGACTACTGGGCTGAGCACTGGTCCCTGGCCAGAAATTGGCTGTAGATGACAAATGCTGAAAGCTACTCCATCACTATGTGTCTTGTCACATGGCAGTAGGTAGCTGATGTATGGACTCTGGGTGTTCTGTTTGAAGCTTTATGGCGATAACTGTTTCCCAACCCTTTATGATTTAGAACATAGCATTTTCCCCATTACCTATGTATATTCATCTTTCTAAAGAGGATATCAAACTGCTTTAAATTTGATTGATTGAGGGTTGTGGGTTTGTGCTTGCAACAACTTTAAGGAATCAGGTCTCTCCCACTGTGTGAGGCCTGGGAATTGAATTCAGGTCTTCAGGCTTGGCAGAAATTGCCTTTACCTACTGAATCATCTCACCAGCCCACAAAGTGATTTCAAAGGAAAGATGTTTTTATTGACAAATATCCCTTCATAAAAACTGTCTGCAGTCTGTGGTAGAAGTCTGTCCTTTCTTTTTTTCAATGTTCAACTTCCAATAGAAAACTTCCTGGCTGAAAGACAGCAAGCAGAAGCCAGTGAGTACCAGCTCAGATTCTGCCCTTGGAAGCCAGTGGACCAGATGGGTTCAGTGCGGGAGTAACCAGTTAAGTGGGTGTATGCAGGGCTGGCCTTTGGCAGCTCCTAAAGGTGGTGCTTTTGTATTGTCCTGAGTGTGCTCCTGTTGGTTAGTGAGCAGCCTTTGTTGCTAAGAGGCTGCTGGTGAAGCTGATGATCAAAGCCCCATGTGGGGTGCAGAAAGGCTGTTCCATGGAGAGGGTTTGGTTCTGCTTGCTGCTTACCAGCTTCTTTATGGCTGTCACTAGCTATGTGGCAGGCTGCCTCCCTCCCTCATTGCACTGATGTCCCAGCAAGTTTTGTGGCCTGTGTTCCCTGTGGTTTTTACCACAGTACAACTCCTTGTACTGTTGACACAGGACTGGGAGCAGAGGAGGAACCCTCAAGACCTATGTAGCCAGTGTCCACTGCCCTGGATAATAGCAGTGTCTAGCCATTCTGAGCCTGACCACATTGGAGTTTCTCCCATGCTGGCCCCCAGGGAAAAGTAGGAATAGAGGAGGTTTTAGACACTTAGGTTGAAGGTGCTGTAACCAGCTGACCACCTTCCACCTGTGATAAATCTATGTTTTCCTTTATGATAGCAGTGTGACCCCTTCCGGGCTCACTGTTGTTTCCATTATTTGCTCAAGTGACATAGGTGAGCTCTGTGTCTGTTTGGTCGTGGTATTAGAAGGCACTGTGTTCCACAGCCAGAGCTGACTTCTTGGAGGGAGAAGCCTTGGCTCTCCCTTACCCATTGCTTGCTGGTTTACTTTGGTACAACATCTCTTTTGAAAACAGTCCCTGAGTTTACATGTCTGAAATGTTTATGTGAGTCTGGCACATTGTGAGACCCAAGCACAGCTTCTCCTTCACCTGGGCTCCCACAGAGGCTGGGCACCTTTGCTTTGCACAACTGTCAGAAAAGTGAAACCCTAGAGTAGAGCATCTGCAAGTCTCCTCCCTGTAGAATGAGTAAGAGCAAGGGTCTTGTTCTCAGGGTCAGCATCATAGCATCAGCTTGAGACATGACAGGCCTCTTCTCATGAGATCCCGGCCTGTGACCTCAGGCCCCCACCTCAGGAATGTTCCGAGTGCTTCATTCTTCCTGCTCTTGATTCTAGAACCTTTTTTGGGGGGGCATCTAAGATAGGATTTCTCTGTGTACCCCTACTTGTCCTGGAACTCACTCTGTAGACCAGGCTGGTCTCAAACTCAAAGAGATCTGCCTGCCTCTGCCTCCTGAGTGCTGGGATTAAAGGTGTGTGCCACCACCACCCAGCTGATAGTAGAGCTTTTTATTTTGGGGCAGGCATTCCTTGTATACACCTACAACTCTCAGCTCTCCCTGCTAGGCATCCCAAGGGGTAGAATTACAGCTGTGTGCACCACAGCCGCTTCTTAGGATGTATGTGAAATTAGGGATTGAGCCAGGGCCTGCTGCATGCTTGGCATCCTTTTCTCAATTTTCACTTTTGGTTTTGTTTTTTGAAACAAGGTCTCTCTGTGTACCCCTGGCTGTCCTGGAACTTGCTGTGTAGACCAGGCTGGTTCAGAATTCACAGAGGTCTTGCCTGCCTCTACCTCCTAGGTGCTGGGATTAAAGGTGTGTACCACCAAACCTGGCTAGTCATTTGTTTGTTTTGCTTGCTTGCTTGCCTGCTTGTTTTGAGTCAGGGTCTAAGTCTCCCAGGCTGCCCTTGAACTCCCTCTATACCCCAGGCAGGTCCTGAATTTGGGATCTTTTTGTTACAGGCCTGGCCACCAGACATGTTGCACCTCCGCTCTTTTCTTGTCCCTGGAGCAGAAGTAGAGCTTTTCCTACATATCCTGAGGTCCCCGAATGCCACTGCCTCCTGGGGCGCTGTCTTCCACTATCAGTAAACCTAACAGGGAAGCTCTGTCTCTGGGCCTCAGATCAGGACTAGGATCCAGGGTTTACTTGGAAACCTGTCTTTGTGAAGGAGCCCTAGGGTGGAGGTGCCAGTCTGGTGTTAGGGTACTGTTGTTGAATCCCAGGGCCTGGGAAGGAGAAGTCCTTGATGCACAGGAGGTGACTGGTATGCTGTGATGGGCAAAAATGGGGCTGGCATGACAGGGACCTGACTTGCCTGCAAATGGGATAGGACATTTGCATAGGAGAGACAGTGGGATGGGCATGGCCCAGTCCAGTGCATGGAGTGGCCCCATCTGCCTTCCCAAGCCCATCTCCCAGGATGTTTCGTGTAAATTTTCAGTGCCATCTTGTTGATGTGATGGTATTTTCATCCCATTCAGAATTTCAACATCCTATACTCTCAAGACATTGAAGTCTCCCATTCTTGTCCCTCCCTCTTCTGAGGGTCACATGCCTTGTCATTGTCCCTAAGGTGGCTCTTGTTTTTGTTGTTCCTGTTTTTGTCTTTAATGTATTTTTTTTTTCATTTCACTTATTCTTCTGGGTGTATGTACATTCATGTGCACACCACAGTGTGAGTGTCTTGGTCAGAAGACAACTTTGGGGGTCACTTCTCTTCTCCCATTGAACTTGGCTGTGGTTTGCTTGGCAAGTGCTTTTTACCCACCAAGCCATCTCATTGAACTTCTTTTGTGTGTCTGAGACAGTGAGGCAGCCTGGCCTCAATCAGGAGGCTGTTCTGGCCTGGACTTGTAGTGGTCTTCTGCTTCTGCCTCCAAGTGCAGGGATTATAAGTATGTGCCATCATTCCTAGCCTCCCTTCG